ATAAAATTAAGTAAATTATTATCCATAGATTTCTATTTACTTAATTTATTGAATTCTTTAATTAACTAATTAATTAATTATTTTTCTAACAAATTATTTCTCTCTCTCTCTCTCTCCCGGAGACTATTTTTAGGGTAATTAATATGTTTTGTGAGGTGTGGGATAGGATGTACCTATCCCGTCCCAATAATAAATGTTATTTTAATTATATATTTTACTAAACAAAATAATCATTAATTATTATATAAAATTAACTAAATTGGTATCCATTGGTTCCTATTTATTTAATTTAHTAAATTATTCAAGTAGTTAATAATCCCTATATTCCCCCCTAACCCGGGCAAATTTTTTAGGTTTATAAATTGGATAGGTATCGGTTGGGGTTAAACCTTTTCGTTGGTTGGGCCACGTCTGGTTTGGGCTTTGCCTTTATATCAACAGAACTTATTAAGGCCCAAGTCTAAGCTTAGACCAACCATCAATCCTAGATTTTGAGCTTGTGCCCAACCATCGTATAAAGCTCGGATTGCGATTAGGAAATTTTTGTTCTTTGTCTCTTTCTCATTTTCTAGAAATCTCTTTTCCATATTTGTTGTTAACATGTAACTATTTACAATGATGCCATTAATAAAGAGCTAACTATTCTCTCTTTTTCTTGCCTAATTACTTACATACTTATTTTAAAAAGTTAAAATATTTTATTGATTTAATTTACTAGATTATTTAATTATATCCCTCTCTATCTTACTGTTCGGTGTCCAATATTTATGGGTTGTCAACAGGTGGGGATTGGTTTGGGTAGTTTGGATATTTATTTATTTATTAAATTAAATTATTCAATTATATATTTTACAAAATTAAGAAAATTATTATCCATAGATTTCTATTTATTTAATTAACTAATTGACTTCATTAATTAATAATTTATTAACAAGTTAAGGAGGTTGGGATTAAACTTGTTCACAGGTAGTGCCAAGTTTGGGTTGGACTTTGTCTTTATTCAATAGTATATATTGAAGCCCAACTTTAACCCCGACCTAACCATTAGACCTATCTCTTGCGTCGAGTCCGACGAGGATAGTGTTATTGTGTATTACTCTCTTATTTCCTCACCAATTTATTTATATATTTAATTTCGTAAGTTAAAATTTTTTATTTATTTAATTTTTTAAACTATTTAATTTTAGTAAAAAATTATTTCACTATCTCTCCCTCCCCGAGTCTAATATTTTGGGTTATCAATGGGCC